TTCAGCTGCCAGATCAACCTCAGTGAAGGAGTTTGTGGGAGTAGTGGAGGAGACAACCAAACCCCCGGCTCTGCCCACCAACTCCGGCTGCCTTGGGAGTCATTGTAGATCCCCGTGGGGCAACCTAAGCAGATTAGATGACTGGGGAGTGTTATAGGCAGCCTCCCCCACCCTGCTGGGTTCCTTCCCTGCACAGCCGATCACTGTATTTACAAAGCGGCACAGACAGGAAAATTCAGCTGTCTGAAGCAATAGTTCAGCCACAAGGCACAATGTCCAGTGTGAAGGAGGGCAGCTGTTGGATTTGGGGGAATGTGACTGAAATCTGGGGGGGCGTAATCCACCCCTGCCCCCCCTCTAGATCCGGCCATGCGGGGAACACTATGCTTGTCCATTTTTTCTCTATGAATGGCCGGTGCTCACTAAATATGGTACACATGGCGCGCACTGTTCTACCTACATGATAGAGCCTACAAGGAAACCTAAGTCCATACACCACAAATTAATTGTTCAATGTCAAATGCCTTTCCACCTTTTGTGGTGAACATTTTCTTACCATGGGACACTGTCAGCAAGCTGATTAAATATTTTGAGAGCAGCCTGGCCAATCTACGCTCTGTGTGTAAGGAGTGACTCTAATTCTATAAGTTCGACATTCCTATATTTGAGACCTTTAGTGTGTATGATTATTAGAATGTGAAGACCCTGCTTGCACCCATTGTGGTTATAAGACCAGGTAAGTCGGATCATATCACTGCAGTGAGAGACTCTATTATGAATTTACCCTAGGCATATTATTCACTATCTTAATTTGCTATTGCTGCCCTCCCACCAGGTTTATGTTTCCCGCTCTATTATCCTCCTTATTAGGCATGTGTGCCTGGAGGTATGTGCCTGTGAGCCTGGGCTAGGTTCTTATTACCTCTGATAACGTTGACATTTGTATTTTAATTGGTGCTGGCTCGAAGTGGTTCTTTTGATACTTCTCATGATTTTACAGCAAAGCTAGATAAGTTTCTATATACACCGCTGTTGTTCACTTTTTAGAACCCCCTGTAAGCTCTCACACTAACATTTTTGTGCTTAGCAGTACTCTGCATGGGGCAGTTCAGAATAAGGATGTACAGGTTGGTATACAGAATGAGGAAGAGTTGTGGGGAATTTATATTTCAGCCTACTGAATGAGGTGTTCTGGGATAGAGAATATACAGCATAGCATACAATACAAAGCACCACCTCCATCTCAACACACATATACAATGCCCTGTAGTGCATCACAATCCAAAGATATGAAGACTGCGAGTTGTCATGCACTTTTCAAAATGGTGCAGGACCTTTTTCATGCATTGGGGACTGCTATTTTTTGTTCACCAGACCCAATTTTCAAAGTGAAGTTGAAAAATCTGGTTTGCCCCTAAGATGATTGTTCCACTCCTTCCACCTCCTAGGTGCTGCGTTCAGGAACAGCCGAATACATGAAAGTACTTCAGGGGTCAGAAAGTAAAAGTTCATAAACCTGGATGGGGTCCTTTGGCTGCTAGATTTATCCAACAAGTTATGTGCCACTTGTGGATCACTAACACTGCCACAAATGCTGCATCTGTGGATTAGCAGTAGTAAAAACAGAATCCACACTGTCATTTTTACTGTGCCTATGATCCAGACCACTGGAGGTGGCAAAAATCAGTCCTCCCTCTATGACCGGGATATACCAGTTGGGGGGACATGTGCGCCCCTCTGGTCCAGCAGCTCACTTTGTGCAGGTGTATCTGAACAAAATTACAAGCAAAAAGCAAATTAATTTATTTATGATATGTTAACACAACTACAAATAGTTTTACAAGAAAGAAGTATATTTATGGTACTGCATGTCAACTGTGAATCAAACTATTTGTCTGGAGCTCTTTTTTTAGGTCTATAGAAATTATATCTCAGTATTTCTTGTCTTTGGGTGGCCTACCATCTGAACTATCCATTACAAATCCAGTCTAATTCTACTCATTAATATATTCTCTGCTGCCGTAAGTTCCCTTATTGTAGGTGTGTCCTATTTTCTACAAGTAGTTTTGGCATTAGGGATCATTGTTCCCAATCCATCTTATGTGAAAACATAAATTGTCCATTTCAATTACACTCCGCTTACTGCCTGGACGAGCGATGATAAAGTTGTTTCTTTGTATTTCTAGTTTGTCAAGGAGAGCTAGTGTACTCTAGAGAACTCAACATCAAGAGCACAAAGCCTAATGAAAAAAATACAGAACTGTCATATTGGAGATGAAGAATTTCACCTCATTAGGATGCAGTTTCCAAAAACAATGCACAGCTACTTCACAAAGAATTCAAGCAAATGGGGCCCTAATGACAAGAAAAACATTTGTTTCTGAGTTGTTCTAGAAAAAGCTCAGAGCGGGATCAGACAGTGAAACCTTTCCCTTATGCATCAGTTCATTATTATATAACTTTGTTTTCTGTAAAGACTTTGTATGATAAATAAAAAATAACCAAAAAAAAACACGTGAATACTTGAAGTTCAGAATAAAGAAAGTTAAAATGTCAAAATATTTGCAGATTTATAGCATATACTGAACATTACTATCAGGTCAAACAGACAGTTTTTATTTCAAACCCAGCATGATAGGTTTAAATAATGATAATTAAATGTTATCAGCCTTAGACTCAGCTCACTCTGCTGAGACTTGGGATCCAACTGTGAGACTGCAAGTCGCATGACATGTCAAATCCCATGTTAGTCAATGAGAGCCGTCTTAATTTGCATTACTGAAGTCGCTACGCGTTTAGAAAACGTTCCTGTACTACTTCAAGGTGATTCTATCCAACTTGTGCCAATAGACATTAGTGGAAGTTGCCTCCAAGTCGGATCCTCGTCTATATTGATGTGGTTTGGATCCATCGTACAGGAAGAATACCCAGGCATTCCTTGAAAGTTGCTTCAAAGTCACTTCAATGTAGTACTCAAGTCGCCTGGCAAAGTCGCACTGTAAGGTCGCAGTAGTGTGAACAGAGACTCAACCCCTTCCTCCTTGCCCCAGTGTCCCTTTAAATAGATAAGAAAGTACCAAGGGGGAGGGGAGGATCAGTACTCAATTGCCCCGCTGGCTATCGACATGTAGCACGGACTGAGTGCTGTATGAGACATCTCAGTAGTTCAGTCTTTGGTCTGAGAGGGAGCAGTGAGAACACTTTCAGCACATAAATACCATATGTATGCAAATTAAACCCCACCCTTTTGCTGCTGCATATATGTGTTGAGTGGTTGTAAAGGGGTTAAACATACAGCTGATAAATGTCTTTTCTTATGTTGTGTATCAAATGTCTCTATATTTGCAGGGTGATTATGCCATGGAAAAAAAAAATAATAATTAGAGCTCATTTTTACCTTTGCATGCCGAACAGGCCCACGTTGAAGCAGGTTGCATTAAAGCAGCTTATTTGTTTTTATTGGACTTTTATTGGACTTTTCACATTTGTGTTTTGTATAGTGCAGATTTGTTTAGGTTTGCTGTATATGTACATAAACCTTCCATTCAGAATGAATGGCAACACACCTCAAAGCTGAAGGACTTCTTTACAAGTTCACCTGGCAGAAGCTAATGTTAGTGTATTTCCCACATAAACTCTCACACATTACCCAACCGCATCTTCCTGTGCACCACTAGTGTAGAAGAGCCCATTGACTATTAGCAGATAAGGGCATGTAGGCTGGTATCGGCATGGAAGGGGGATACATTTTTTTTAGGGCTACCAAGCCCTTGTGCCTGATGTGTCAGTCAGGTATATGTATGTCCAAATTTATAATCCAGTTAGGCTAAACTAAGGCTTCAAAAGTAACTATGGACAAAATAAAAAGTTATATATGGTGCATTTTTGTTTCTAGCATAACAGCTGTCTTTGCTTTTCCAAGTTCTCTTGTAACATTGTTTTAGCACCTGTTGATCCTGCCAGTAGATATGTTATTTTCCACTTCCTTTATAAGAATGACAACACTGCTCATTCAGCAGTAAAATCACACAGCAGCATTATCACCTTGTGAACAAGCTAGCCTAAGGCCTCATGTACACGTGACAGTTCTGAACGATGGAAACTGACTGCTGGAAAACGTAGGTTAAAAAATGTCTGTTTAGCCGCTTTTGCATAATGCTAGTTTAACGCAATTGTCCGTTAAACTAGCGCAGCGCTGTATAGCAAACAAATGGCGTAAATTGCAGTATCTATACCATAGTTTGTAGACTATAACTTTCACACAAAGCAATCAATATACATTTATTGGGATTTTGTTTTCCAAAAACATGTAGCAGAATACATTTTGGCCTAAATGTATAACTAACTTTGAGTTTACTATATATTTTTTATAGCTGAAAGTAAAAAATATTGTTTTTCTTCAAAATTTTCGGTCTTTTTTTATTTATAACATGAAAAATAAAAAGCGCAAAGGGGATCAAATAGCACCAAAAGAAAGTTCTATTTGTGTGAAAAAAAAAAAAGTAAATTTCATTTGGGTGCAGCATTGCATGACCGCACAATTATCAGTTGAATTAGTGCAGCGCCGAGTACCAAAAAGAGGCCTGATCAGGAAGGGGGGTAAATTCTCAGGAGGGCAAGTGGTTAAAACAATTTTTTGGACGCAAATGCTTATAAATGCAATTTGCCGCATTTGGTCACGTTTAAAAGTGTTTTGCGCTTGAAACACTAATAAAATTGACTGCTGAACGCAAGTTTTCTGCGTTCAAAAAAACAACTGTAAGCTCAAATGCCTGTAAATCAGCGGTTCTCAACCTGGGGGTCGCGACCCCTTTGGGGGTCGAACGACCATTTCCCAGGGGTCGCCTAAGACCATCGGAAAACACATATTTCCGATGGTCTTAGGAACCGAGACACCGCTGCAGTCTCCGGCGATGTGTGGGCGGGATGATACGCTGCTGTCACCCGGCCACACCTCCAAGATCGCTCAGCAGCTCCGCCTCCTCGCCGCTGATTGGCCACCGGAACTGTAGCTCAGGAGAGGCACACAGGCGGTCAATCACCGGCGAGGAGGTGGAGCTTGGAGAGGAGGAGCCAAGCGGCAGCGCGCGGACATCAAAGAAGACCGAGGGAGCGAGTGAAGAGGAGAGCGGCCAGAGAAGGAAGACAGCTGACAGGTAAGTGAGAGAGCAAGCCCAGGCTGGAGCAGGGGTCAGCAAGGTAAGTATCATTGGTGTCAGTGGGAGGAATAGTGCCCCATCATTTGTGTCACTAATACCAACGATGGGGCACTATTCCTCCCCCCACTGACACCAACGATGGGGCACTACTCCTCCCCCCACTGACACCAACGATGGGGCACTATTCCTCCCCCCACTGACACCAACGATGGGGCACTATTCCTCCCCCCACTGACACCAACGATGGGGCACTATTCCTCCCCCCACTGACACCAACGATGGGGTACTATTCCTCCCCCCACTGACACCAACGATGTGGCACTATTCCTCCCCCCCACTGACACCAACGATGGGGCACTATTCCTCCCCCCACTGACACCAACGATGGGGCACTATTCCTCCCCCCACTGACACCAACGATGGGGCACTATTCCTCCCCCCACTGACACCAACGATGGGGCAGTATTCCTGACCCACCCTCCCCCCACTGACACCAACGATGGGGCAGTATTCCTCCCCCCACTGACACCAACGATGGGGCAGTATTCCTCCCCCCACTGACACCAACGATAGGGCAGTATTCCTCCCCCCCACTGACACCAACGATGGGGCACTATTCTTCCCCCCACTGACACCAACGATGGGGCACTATTTCCCCCCCCCCACCCCAATGATGGGGCACTATTCTCCCCCCACCACACTGACATCAATGATGGGGCACTATTCCTCCTACTGACACCAATGATGGGGCACTATTCCTCCCCCCACTGACACCAACGATGGGACACTATTTCCCCCCCCCCCTGACCCCAATGATGGGGCACTATTCTCCCCTCCACCACACTGACACCAATGATGGGGCACTATTCCTCCCACTGACACCAATGATGGGGCACTATTCCTCCCACTGACACCAATGATGTGGCACTATTCCTCCCACTGACACCAGTGATGGGGCACTACTCCCACTGACACCAGTGATGGGGCACTACTCCCCCCACTGACACCAGTGATGGGGCACTATTCCTCCCACTGACACCAATGATGGGGCACTACTCCCCCCACTGACACCAATGATGGGGCACTACTCCCCCCACTGACACCAATGATGGGGCACTACTCCCCCCACTGACACCAATGATGGGGCACTATTCCTCCCACTGACACCAATGATGTGGCACTATTCCTCCCACTGACACCAGTGATGGGGCACTACTCCTCCCACTGACACCAGTGATGGGGCACTACTCCCCCCACTGACACCAGTGATGGAGCACTACTCCCCCCACTGACACCAATGATGGGGCACTACTCCCCCCACTGACACCAATGATGGGGCACTACTCCTCCCACTGACACCAATGATGGGGCACTACTCCTCCCACTGACACCAATGATGGGGCACTACTCCTCCCACTGACACCAATGATGTGGCACTATTCCTCCCACTGACACCAGTGATGGAGCACTACTCCTCCCACTGACACCAGTGATGGGGCACTACTCCCCCCACTGACACCAGTGATGGGGCACTACTCCCCCCACTGACACCAACGATGGGGCACTACTCCCCCCACTGACACCAATGATGGGGCACCAACGATGATGGGGCACTACTCCTCCCACTGACACCAACGATGGGGCACTACTCCTCCCACTGACACCAACGATGGGGCACTACTCCTCCCACTGACACCAACGATGGGGCACTACTCCTCCCACTGACACCAACGATGGGGCACTACTCCTCCCACTGACACCAACGATGGGCACTACTCCTCCCACTGACACCAACGATGGGGCACTACTCCTCCCACTGACACCAACGATGGGGCACTACTCCTCCCACTGACACCAACGATGGGGCACTACTCCTCCCACTGACACCAACGATGGGGCACTACTCCTCCCACTGACACCAACGATGGGGCACTACTCCTCCCACTGACACCAACCGATGGGGCACTACTCCTCCCACTGACACCAACGATGGGGCACTACTCCTCCCACTGACACCAACGATGGGGCACTACTCCTCCCACTGACACCAACGATGGGGCACTACTTCCTCCCACTGACACCAACGATGGGGCACTACTCCTCCCACTGACACCAACGATGGGGCACTACTCCTCCCACTGACACCAACGATGGGGCACTATTCCTCCCACTGACACCAACGATGGGGCACTATTCCTCCCACTGACACCAACGATGGGGCACTATTCATCCCACTGACATCAGTGACGGGGCACTATTCCTCCCACTGATACCAACAATGGGGCACTATTCATCCCACTGACATCAGTGATGGGGCACTACTCCTTCCACTGACACCAATGACATGGCACTACTCCTCCCACTGCAAAATTACAGTTATGAAGTAGCAATGAAAATAATTTTATGGTTGGGGGTCACCACAACATGAGGAACTGTATTAAGGGGTCGCGGCATTAGAAAGGTTGAGAACCACTGCTGTAAATGAAGATGTGTACATGGACACAGAGGAAAACATTAGGGTGAGTTCAGGGGCTGCTGATAAAAAACGTTGAACAGCTCCTAAACGTAAGTTTATCAGCTGTAGTATCTATGAGCCCTTAGCTGGAAATAATGTTTTAAGTGGACTTTCAGTAACTGAAAAAAAAATTATAGCCCGACTCTAGCTAACAATTATTCCATAACAGCAACAGGTTACTTTTCTTTTGGAAAATGATTAAACTATATACAGTGCTATCCTCGTATGAGCCGCTTGTATCTTGCCCAGGTTTGCCCTTAGATCTTCTCCCGTGGCTAAGTACACAGCATTCCCTATAGCCAGGTGCACACAACTTCCTCTCGTTACTCCAATGATCAGTTTGGGGGTTGTCGTTTTTGTTGTTTTTATTTTGTTTTAGAACTGAGATAGCGAAAGGAAAGTGTAGTTGCTCAGGCAATGTGGTCTGAACTGAGCATGTCTTATATAGACACGCAAACTAGGAGGCGGGCCAGGAAGTGATGAAAGGGAAGGAAATAAAACCCAGAGAATAGCAGGAGACGCCCATAGGTGAGCACAGACAAACCACACATGTGAAAGGAATCAGGGTAGGAAAAAAACTTCAGCAAGGAGGTAAGAACACACAAGCAAGATGCTACAGGCTAACTTGTGACTATTTCCTTCTCTAAGGAAGAAGAAGAACCCAGATCACATGTGCTCACTGAATATAAATACTATCACCCAGCATGCTGCGGGGCACCACTCCCTGTAATTGGCTGGAACTGCATCTGTATTCATGCTGCTGATCTGCAAAGGTCGCTCCTGTTCACCCAGAATCTTCAAGGTCTCCTGGATACAGAGGAGCCTATCACAGCAACAGGAGCACCGTGAGCCACACAGGATATATTATCACTAAATAATTGTAGCTTTTGTGTTAAGCAGAAAATGAGCTATGTTTTGCCCATCAGTCTCCTGTTAAGCAGGAGATCACACTATACTAAACTAGACTATATACACTGCTCAAAAAAATTAAAGAAACACTTTTTAATCAGAGTATAGCATCCAGTCAATTAAACTCCTGGGATATTGATCTGGTCAGTTAAGTAGCAGAGGGGGTTGTTAATCAGTTTCAGCTGCTTTGGTGTTAATGAAATTAACAACAGGTGACATTTTTTTTCCTACTCATCTTTTCTGACTATTTTTCACTAGCTTTGCATTTGGCTGAGATCAGTGTTCACTACTGGTAGCATGAGGTGATACCTGGAACCCACAGAGGTTGCACAGTCAGTCCAACTCCTCCAGAATGGAACATCAATACGTGCCATTGCCAGAAGGTTTGCTGTGTCTCCCAGCACAGTCTCAAGAGCATGGAGGAGATTCCAGGAGACAGGCAGTTACTCTAGGAGAGCTGGACAGGGTCGTAGAAGGTCCTTAACCCATCAGCAGGAGCAGTATCTGCTCCTTTGTGCAAGGAGGAACATGATGAGCACTGCCAGAGCTCTACAAAATGACCTCCAGCAGACCACTAGTGTGAATGTCTCTGACCAAACAATCAGAAACAGATTTAATGAGGGTGGCCTGAGGGCCAATGTCCTCTAGTGGGCCCTGTGCTCACTGCCTGGCACCATAGAGCTCGATTGACATTTGCCATTGAACACCAGAATTGGCAGGTCCACCACTGGCACTCTGTGCTTTTCACAGAAATACATGGAAACGTTCAAATCACAAATTTTCATACATTTTTGTGTGTTTTGTCATGCAACCAAGAGCGTTTTTCTGGCATGGCAACAATTGAGGTCACAGATGAAATTATTCTCTATTGGCTAATACAAAGATGCCAAAACTTAAAAAGCCCCAAAACGCTTGAACAAATCTTGCACAAACATTTGCAAAAGCAAGTAAAAATGCGTGACAAAACGTGAAAAAAATGCACAAAACGCTACACTTAGATGTGAATGGAGCCTAACTGGGCAGATTGGACTGTTAAGGCAGTAGATAAATAACAGATCTACTGGCAGGATCAACAGGTAATAAAAATGTGTTAAGAGAAACTTAGAAAAAACTAAACTGCTGTGTATCAAAGATTATGTGAATTGTAAAATTATTTTTTTATGGTCCCCATAGTTTCCACTTACTGATGCTGGATTGGTAATAGGTTGAGTCTGAAGGGGTACAGCAACAGACAGGAGGTGAGTATAGCAGCTGGAGATGCTTTTTTATTTTTAAGAGCTGCTGGGTGATCCAATTTGTCTTTTTTTCTACACTGGAATTAGGCTTTGAAATATTTAATAATAAATAATATTTTAAAAAATGACGTTAGTAACCTGAAATATAGCCAATAAACTCTTTGGGGGGAAAAGTCTTCCCCTCCTTCAGTAGCAATAAAAGTAAAATATACTGTAATTATCTCATGTAAACAATGTAGCAATTTAAAAAACTTCATAAAATCTATATAGTACTAAAGTATCCTGAAAACATCCATGTCACAAAATTGTAGTCAACTGAAATAATCTGAAATGACTTAATATTCATATAAAATATGAAAATATATATATATATATACAGTTGCAAGAAAAAGTATGTGAACCCCTTGGGATTACGTGGAGTTTTGCATGAATTGGGCATAAAATGTGCTCTGAACGCCATCTAAGTCACAACAATAGAAGAACACAGTCTGCTGAACATAATACTACACAAACATTAGATGTTGCCATGGTTTAATTGCACATAACACGTAAACATTCACAGTGCAGGGAGGAAAAAGTATGTGAGGCCCTAGCTTAATGACTTCTCCCAGAGCTAATTGGAGCCAGGAGTGAGCCAACCTTGACTCCAATCAGTGTGATGATATTGGATGTGTTGCTGACAGCTATCCTGCCCTTGAAAAAACACACACCTGTTTTGGGTTTACTGATTTCACTGGAAGCACTGTCTGATGTGAACCATGCCTCGCAGAAAAAGAGCTCTCAGAAGACCTACGATCAAGAATTGTTGACTTGCATGAAGCTGGAAAGGGTTACAAAAGTATCTCCAAAAGCCTTGATGTTCATGTGTCCACGGTAAAACAGACTGTCTACAAATGGAGAAAGTTTAGCACTGTTGCTACTCTCCCTAGGCGTGGTCGTCCTGTAAAAATGACTGCAAGAGCACAGCGCAGAATGCTGCATGAGGTAAAGAAGAATCCCAGAGTGTCAGCTAAAGACCTACAGAAATCTCTGGCACATGTTAACATTTTTGTTGACACATCTACAATAAGGAAAACATTAAACAAGAATAGAGTACATGGGAGGACACCATGGAGGAAGCCATTGCTGTCCAAAAAGAATATTGCAGCACGTTTGAAGTTTGCAAAAGAGCACCTGGATGTTCCACAGCACTACTGGCAAAATATACTGTGGACAGATGAAACCAAGATTGAGTTGTTTGGGAAGAACACACAACACTATGTGTGAAGAAAAAAAAAGGGCACAGCACACCAACATCAAAACCTCATCCCCACTGTAAAACATGGCGGAGGGAGCATCATGGTTTGGGGCTGCTTTGCTGCCTCAGGGCCTGGACAGATTGTTTTCATTGATGGGAAAATGAATTCCAGAGTTTATCAAGACATTTTGCAGGAAAACATACGACCATCTGTCCGCCAACTGAAGCTCTGCAGAGGATGGGTGATGCAACAGGACAATAACCCAAAGCATGCAAGTAATTCAACAAAACAATGGCTGCAACAGCACAGAATACGCCTTCTGGAGTGGCCCAGTCAGAGTCCTGACCTCAACTCGATTGAAATGCTGTGGCATGACCTTAAGAGAGCAATTCACACCAGACATCCCAAGAATATTGCTACACTGAAACAGTTTTGTGAAGAGGAGTGGTCCAAAATTACTCCAGATCGTTGTGCAGGTCTGATCTGCAACTACAGGAAACGTTTGGTTGAGTTTATTGCTGCCAAAGGAGGGTCAACCAGTTATTAAGTCCAAAGGTTCACATACTTTTTCCTCCCTGCACTGTGAATGTTTACATGTTATGTGCAATTAAACCATGGCAACATCTAATGTTTGTGTAGTATTATGTTCAGCAGACTGTGTTCTTCTATTGTTGTGACTTAGATGATGTTCAGAGCACATTTTATGCCCAATTCATGCAAAACTCCACGTAAACCCAAGGGGTTCACATACTTTTTCTTGCAACTGTATATATATATATATATATATATATATATATATATCAAAATAGATGTAAAACTTTAAATATTTATATTTAAATATATAGCCACTGGCAATAATTGCATGGAAAATTCCAACAGGTTGGTTGTACCCAAGTTGTACAACAATCGAATTGGGTAAAATCACTCTGCATATAGATGGTTTAGATCTTGGCTGGTCCCTGCTGCAACAGCTGAGTTTCAAGCCATCTATGGTCAGCTTTAAAGACCTGTGATAAGGCTTTGTGAAGATTGTGGGTGATAAGAAAAAGAGAGGAGAAAGAATAAGCAAGAGAGAGTATACAGATGGGATGGGAAGCTACTCACAGAAATGTGAAAAGGGTCCTTTAAGTAAGACGAACTTTTGTACCAAGCGCTCCTCCATACACATCTAAGAATTTAACCTCCCTAGCGCTCTGTCCATATTTCTGTGATCAAAGCGGTACATTTTTTTGCATGGAAATATGTTTTTTTTAATGTAGGCCTGTAATTTTTAAGAATAACTCACTGAAATCTGTCCGAACAAGAGTCTAGTAAACATTCCAGGTAGGATAAAACTTGAAACACAAAATCATAAATTATAATTTAATAAATAATCAGAAAAAATAATATAATAATAAATTTAATTCAATAATATAATCAAACCAAAAACACTGAAATTTGAAATATAGCGCCAAGTTCGTACATCGCTGAGCTTGTTTTCAGTGTCTGATGACGAATTTCCCCATGAATCATTATCACTCAATTCTGCAAGTGGTTCTGATTTACTATCACTGTTCTCTAGCTGGTCTAAAACCGCTTTTGACATAAAGGGAGGTTTTTAGGACGCCATGGACTTTTTTAAGTTTCCAGGCAGAAAGAACAGTCATAATGCAGGCAGGGCAAAGCACTAGGGACAAAATGTATGTGAAATGGTTTGAAACAGTAATGTTTTACTATGTGATATTCGTTTATTAGGAAATGACAGTTTTTCAAATTTGCCGCCTGTTCCTGACCCGTACGTCCCGACGCTCGCAGGGACCGGAACACGGAAGCCGGATGCCGGCATTGGCCGGAGGAGATGGCCGGGAACGCTCCAGGGGACGCATCGTGGGAGCGAAGGACAAGGTAAGCGCTGCAGGGAATCCCTGAGCAACGCTGCATGGTAAACCGAGTGTAGCTCGGGGTTACCGCTTTTGATACTGAAACTTTACCCCGAGCTACACTCGGGAATACTGCCACGGAGGTTAATGTCTGGTGAACTCTATCAGATGGGTAACAGCCTAGGACCAGAACAGGCTCCAAACAAACAAAATTTTAGATAGGGATCTGCTTTTTTGAAGGAGCACTTTATGGTATACCTATCAGAACCAATTTTCTCTTCTATCAGTCCAGTGCTATCACACACATCAGGCACATTTCGATGGTGACAACCCCTCCTTACAGGTAAAAGCCCACAATTATTATTGATTTATTAATCTAAACGTCTTTATTCTGCATTGAGATTACTATGAAATGGAATAAGAAACTTAAAATTTGCTTGTGACAAGACAATTTGTCATTCCAGTTACTGGCCTTCCTTCAAACCTTTGAACAGCTGATTACATCTGATTAGAAAGTAAGAAATTCTTCTAAAAATGGTTTTTGAATCAGCTGTCAAAGGTATTAAAAACAGCAACGGCATATTTCTTAGCGGCAAAAAATATGTTTTCAGACTTGACACTTCCAATTTAAGCTTTGATATCTCTGACCTTTATTTTTTTATTTTTTGCTACAAAGAATTTGATAAGATACCTCTACTGCTAGCATACAATGCAAAATTTTCCCATATGAGAAAAATGAGAGATCTTCAAAGATTCAGACGTGTAACCTTTAAAACTGGTTAGGAATATTTTAATTTGCAGTTGAATTCTTTTACTTACCCTTTCACTTCGGGGAGGTTGGGTAGGTAAGAAAAGTAAAGAAATGTAATAAATTTTCACAGTATTTACAGTTTCAAAGACTTCTGGAAAAAAAAAACACTCAATACTTAGTAAATATTTAAAAATGGTCTTCAGGGATGTTCTGACATTTTAACTTTTTCATTGCTAGAGCAATTTTTTTTTCATTTAGGTCACATATTTAAATGCTAATTTTTACATAAATACACACCTAAAACCTTGAAGTATTCTATGTTTTCTGAAAGCATTGACCCAGTAGAATACAATAGCAGTAGCTATATTTGCAATATAATGTCAGTACATAATACACTCAAATTAGTTTAATGTACACAAACACAATATAATCCCCATTTTTTTAGTAAAATGTATAAGATGAAGGTTTTTTTAAGTAAGTGGATACCAAATATGTCAAGCCTCAAAATTCTGCTAGCTAGTTGAACAGCGAGAAACAACTGAGCCCAAAATTGTGCATAGGTGATGATTTAAAGTCTTTACAGCTAATCAGTTTAGAGTTTACCTTGAATGATTTCTCTAGAATTACTGATGCCACTCTCGATTGTTCAGAGATACCCAATATTTGTCTCCATTTTGGTACAACCAACATGCATGCTTGTTTTCATATGTGTGTGTGGGTGACTTTAAAAAATTTTTTAAGTGTTTTTATTATAACAAACTTTTTTTACTTCACTTTATTACTATCACAATAGCTGATAAGCCCCCTATATGACAGCATAGTGCAGGTGAGAGGACCTCTTTAGGAGATCTGAGGAAGAGGCAAGTCCTTGAAACGCGTCAGCCTTTTGGATGTCTACACTCCCTATTGCGCACTGTTACTCAGCGCGGTGTTGACCCAGCTGTTCTTTATGATGTGCCTTGACTACATTGTTGTTTGTGAGTACAACACCTACTTTATTTTTTATTAAACATTTTTTATGGTAATGCACTAGGCCTGTGCGCCCTCTGTTTGTTCTTTCCTCATTCAGTATATTTGGATTCCCCCGGTCTATTTGAGGGCAGAAAGGTGTGCATGTTCCAGGACATTCTTAATGTGGTTGTAGCCTGCATCGAGTCCATCCCCAAGCGCAGGAGCATTTGTGTTTGCTGGTTCTCAGATGTGGTAAAGGTTCAACATAATGTGGTACATGGTATAGGTGCAGCCTAGGTTTGAAATAGAGTGCAGTATAGCGTGAGTATGAGTGCAGTATTAATTTGGTACACTTATTGTCCTGCTCCCAGTGGCTCATTCCCGGTAGCAGTATCAGCAGTGGGAGAATAGGCCTCTCACCAGTCCTATGGATGCTGTGGTGACCTCTCACTGTAGAAGGGCAGAAAGCCTCCAGTGATCAGTGGTGGAAAGCAGAGGATGAGTGGATACTCAGGTTATCTTTGCTGCAAGGGTGCAGGTGTTGTGATGTGGGAGATGCTGCACTTGGTGTTCTTACTCCCAGTTTCAGGCTTAGATCTCTCCTGGTATGGCCTCTTACTGGCAGGTGAATATCCAGACAGAGGTGCTCTCTCTACAACTCCCTTGTTGTCAAGAAGCAGAACTTTCCCAGACAATTTAATAAAAATCCTCTCTCCACTCCTTCTGGTGCACAGTGCCTATTAGGATCTGCAGTGTAAGGCATCTTTTCATTCCGTTATACAGTTTCCATCTCAAATTTAAACTCCCAGGATTTTCAGCACTCTGAATAGAAGTCTATGGCCTTGCTTGGATTTAGCTCTCCCGGACTGATCAGTGGATAATGGTGCAGCATAAGATCAGTACCTCAGTAGAGGGAGAGAAGAATAAAAGGCAATGTTCCCTTCTCCATATTGCTGTAATCCAGCACCTGGCTACATGTATGTATGTATGTTATTTCATTGTCACAGAATCAAGGTCCTATTTTTATCATTTGAATCCAATGGTCTTCTCAGGCTTGTGTCACTTGCTACCTTTCTCCACTATACAACCCTCTCCTATAGAAATATTATTGGTTTGTGAAAGTTGTATAGGACTAAAATGTATATATTTTTGTGATGGAAGTACCTTAAAAAGTGCTAATGGGGCTCATGTGTGGCAGTTTATCATGGCAGACATGTAATCCCAGAGCTCTGCCGCGGGTCTACTTTCTCAGCCACACATCAGGGTAAACAGCTTTGGGGGGCCCAAATATGTCCCCACTACATGCCAACACTCCTTATAAGTAAAATATGGTGGCAGAAACCACCCGCCTTACCCCCTCGAGACATACCACCTCCTCAGGATTCCTCCATGGATCGATTTCTGCTGTGACTGGCTTCCCTGCCCTCCATCACACAGGACATTCCTGTTGATCTTCCAGATCCACTCATTCGTCTGGGAGATGAGAACCCCTCCCAACCACTGCCACCCAAGTCATATCTGGCAACCACAGTGCTGGATGACAGACTCCATGCCTTGCTGCAGAAAATCTCCTATAGCATTTTAACTGAGGTTTGTAAAATAGCTTAGGAATTGAGAGGAGAAATTGCACTAATAAGAGAAAGATCTGACCACTTGGAAACAAAATTTTATGACCTAATGTAATATGTCTATGTATTGGAGGAAGATAATCTTTTATTGAAACATAATGCCTTTCAGCATCAGCTCCAGAAAGTGGACTTGGAGACTAGGAGGGATGCCAAAATCTCTGCATCAGAAGTGTCCCAGAATTGGTGGGTGACACAGAGCTCCAATCTCATCTGGTGGGCTTATTTGATACCCTAGCTCTGAATATTCCTAATATAGATGGATCTAGATATAGATGGCATATGGATCGAGCTCACAGATCTCTGGTCCAGAAGCTGCCAGCAGGTGCATAAACTAGAGACTTCCCAAGCATGACAGCAAGGAGATACTTCTGGCTAATACATGTAACAAGTCAGAGATAGACTGAGGGCAAGAAGATACACATCTTCAGCAATCTTTCTCCTATTACTCTTGTTAAATATCACAATTTACTCCCTATTACTTCTCACCTTATTGCATAAAGTATAGCTATGGTTTTCCATTCAGGCTAATCATCACCAAAGCTTGCTCCCAACAGAGCATCCGTGAGATCCAAGAAGGTGAAGCCATTTCTAACAACCTGGGACTGCCTTACCAGATGATGCCTTGGCCATTCCACTCTCTAAGCCTTATCCAGCTGTGATGCTAAGCAAGATCTGGACTCTAGCCAAATCCAAGTCAATAAGACACCTGCTGGCTCCTTAAGGCACCTCTCCACCCAAGACAATCACTTGAGAATATAGGATGAGACATGTTTACCATTTTATTCCACAAAGGATATGTGGCTGATTGACCCATAACTCCAGATCTTTAATAATTACATTCATAGTCTCATAGGGACTCTTGATAACTTCTATATGACATTCTTGATTTTTTTGTCTTAGAAAGTAGATAACGGCTCCCGTGTCGGTATTGTTGTCACCCCCATTATCACTATCAACAAGTATTTGGTGTCCTGAGTTTTTTTTTTACCTCTTAGGCTTGTTGCACTTACTTTTTTGGGTCATCACTAGGCCATGGTTATATTCACAGTTGTTTGTTTTCTGAATTTGGTTCTCAATTGTTTTCTATTTATTTTTTCTTTATAATGCAATTTTATACATCGGTTGTTTTTTTTCCTCAGTCACAAATGTTATTGGCTTTTTCTAAATGTTATCTATATGTCTTTTAAAGTAATGTCATGTAATGTTAAAGATTTAAATTCAGTCATGAAGAGATGGTTGGCCCTAAAGGAATTTAAAACTTCACAAGCTGATATAATTCTGGTATATTAATCACCTAAGCTCCAGAAAGTTTTACTCTCTTCATGGCCAGGACATTTTTTGCTATACTGCACTGCGCTACTTTAACTAGTAATTTCACGGTCATGCAATGCTGTACCCAAACAAAATTTTTTTTTATTATCAAAATTATCATTTTTCACATAAATAGAGCTTTCTTTTGGTGTTTGATCACCATAGTTTTTTATTTTTAATTTTTTGCGTTATAAATTAACAAAGACCAAAAATGAAAAATAAATATATATATATATATATATATATATATGAAACTTTCTGTTATAATACATATCCCATAAAATGAAAAAAAAAATCTGATTTCCTCATACATTTTGGTCAAAATGTATTCTATTACATGTCTTTGATTTAAAAAATCCCATTAAATGTATATTAATTGGTTTGTATGAAAGCTATAGTGCCTACAAATAATTGTGTATATATAATGGAATTTTTTTTATACTACTAATGACGGCGACCAGTGA